GCGGATATTATTATAATTATTAGAATAATTCTGATTAAAAATTTCTATTTTTAGCGATGATCTCGTACAAATGATCGCAAATTTCCTTCGTGAAAATCCGTGGATAATGAAACTCGGTAGTATAACAATTGGTGTATTTATTATCATTTCTGTAGCTTCTAAATTTAGACGTAAAACTGAGGTTCCACAAAAGAAAGACTAATTGTTTTATTTACCAAAGATATATATTATGGGTACTCTGTCAACTATTAGTATTTCTAATTTTATATAAAGCACAATACATATATACATACATACATACATATATATATGTATATGTATATAAATTTTTTACTTAAAGACAACTTTTATTTTTATATTTAACAAGTTACATAATCTTTTATTTTTCTAATTCTATTATATTTGATTAGTGCCCATAATATAAATAGAAGATAAAAATACGTCTATATTTCTAATAATTGCATTTTTTATTTCATATAAAACATGTGTAATAGTCATTGCAAATCTATCATTTTTTAAACAAATGTTTTACAATAAATACTTTTAAATGAAAATTGTTGCTATTAAATACATGATAAAATATCTATTATATCATAGTATTTTTCTTCCCATAAAAAAAATCTGAATTAATATAACAAAATACCTTATATATTATACACAGATCTATTTAAAAATTAAATAAAATTGAAAGTAACATATTTATTTGGATAAACGTTGTACTTTAACTTATTTTTGTTAAATAAGATTGAATGTAAACTATTTCACATTCATTAGGTAACAATACATTTCCTTTATTAGTTTTTTATTGCAAGTAAAAAAATAAAGTAAAAATATGATATCAAATGTATTAAAATTCTTTGTATCTTTCTGTAACTTAATAATTTCAAAATAATTGCTTTGTTTTATGTCTTAATATCATCATAGTTCACAATAATGCTATTATTCGCTCACAAGACACTGTTTTACATATTATAGAAGTAGTTTTGTGCAATAGTATATTTACTGTGATCACGATTTAGTTTTATTAATTAAAAATATTTCATATATTTTAAACATTATCAACTGATATATTTATCCTAAAAATCATAGATGTGTCAGCTAGTGCCATTCTGATACTATTTTCAAACTTTTCTTGTATACATGAAAATTCCATCATATTACTTGGTTTTGAGTCAATCCAAAATCCATCAAATTCATAGAAAAGATAACTATAAAATTGGTGAAATGCACGAATTGTTGGAAAACCCTTTGAAGAATTATAAATATGAGTCTTAGCACTTCCATCCCTTAGTAATTTTAATGCCATACTTGTTAAATTTATGCCAACTATGGCAAATGCATAACCATAACGTGGATGTGTAGAATGCGATAATACATGTGTTGCAGCACTGGGATATTCCTGAGCAAAATAAACTAAATTTTCTAATCCCAAAATTCCCATTCCACGAAAATCAGTTTTTGGATCATCACCTTGAAAGCCAATGTGTTGCCATTGTTTAGTAACTCTAGCATCTAGAGGCTCATATGGCATTAATAAATTCCATAACTTTAATAATAATAACTCATGATCTGGATTATCAGCATCATAAGGTGTTCTCCTAAGCTCTTCACATTCCACACAAAGTTGTCTATAGCCCCAAATTAATTCTATACATTTACCAAATGATTTAGAAAAATCAGGATGAGCTGCTGGATTTATTTTCTTAGTTACCAATACACTTTCAATAGCTTCCTTTACAATTTTTCGTTTTGCTTGATTTGTAAATGCACATCGATCAGCAAGATCATTCAAGTAGATTAAAAGAGTTTTGATATTTGCATTTTTAGATAACTTAAGAGATTTTTCTACAGCTAGTGTTCTTGGTGCTCCAGGGAGTTCTCCATAACAAATTCTTTGAAGTTCGCACATTTGCGTTGTATGCCTTAATAACCATTTTATAACTGGTCTGAAATACGAGCACACTAGTGACCAGAGGTATACAAACATGTTTTTTGATAATAAAAAACTTTGATACAAAGGATATTTGCATAAATCCTTTTATATTTAAATTTATATTAACCTCTTTCCGTCATTATATTTCAAAATATAAGTTTCTTTTATTAAATTTAAAAAAATTTTGTCACTAATTTAAAAAGATTCTAATATAAAAAATCAACACTTTTGTATTTTAATAAATATATTTTCCTTCTTTCACTTCAGTATCATTAAAATCAATGCACATAACCTACACTAATATAATAACTAACATCTATGACAGAAAGTCTGATTTTAATTAATCGAAAATAATTTCATCTATTAAATTTATTTATAATCAACAAATATTTGATTTCTATCGCAGAAAAATTATCGATTTCTTTAAATACATGACTTTAATAAAGAAAAATCAATAATAACCTATTAAACTAGCATAGTATCGATACCAATGGTAGAAGAGGTCACTCACTACCGTCATCTTATATCAAAAATTTTATGTGCCTAAGTAGCATACATACCTATTTTTTGGAATTTTAGATAATTTATGATTAGAAACAAGCATTATAAATATAGATAAAAAATGTACAGAAAGAAAATGTAGAAATAACTTCAACTTAAATATTTCGTTCTTATAAAGCGATAGAAAGAATAGAAAATTATTTTCAATATTTTTATCTTTCACCTTAAATATCTATCCTTACTAATATACAATGTTTGTAAACATAAATAGAATTTTATTTTTTATAGTAACTTAAAAAGCATAATGAAGAAACAATATCATATCATAAAATGAAGTATGTAAAGAGAAATAACTTCAATCAATTAGATTTTTAAATAATCATCCATCTTTGATTAAAAAGTTTGTCAAATCAGTAATCTTAAGAAAGAACAAAGAAATTATCATAATGGAAAACGAACATTTGTCATCGACAGAAATTTCAACAGATTGTTCGAGCAATTCGGACAGTATACAAAATGTTGATAATCAATGCAAAGAAATATTGGATGAAGAACAGGGTAAAAAGGACTTAGTAGAAGCTGATTTAACATTAGATCTTGGAAGTGTGTTACCAAACTATGACCGCGTTTCTGAAAACGATGATTCTTTAGAGAAACTTTCGGCTGTTCTCGAACAGCCAGAAGACTCTGTGATTTTAGAAGGTACACAATTAGCAGAGGATGATCAAGATGATAAAGATTTAAAGTATGTAATACTCTAATAAAGTATGTAATATTTTCTTTTTTAATCAAAAAAAGAACAATTATATGTTATATTATTGAATAATTTTCGTAATTAATAGTTGTATTCTTCGAGAACGCATAGAGTCTCTTAGTGAAGTGATGCAAAATTTAAAACAAGAATTAAAAAAGGAAATAGAACTTTGGAAGAAGGAAAGAGAAGAATTGCAACTCTTACGTGAAAAAGACGATGAATTGGCTTTGGAAGAAGCAACTGCAGCTGCACGTGCAGCTGCAGCAGCTTATGCAGCTGAATCACCATTGTCTAACAATTTAGGTAATCTTTCTTAGAAGATAAAACATAAAATATTTTAAAAATATTCAAAGGATCGATTAATTTATGATAGGAGATCTTTTAGATATTACTTCTGAGGATACATTTAGAGAATTGACAATACTTGAATACGAAAAAAGGTTAGCTAAATATCAAGATGAATATTCCTTTAGCCAAGCAGAGAAACGTTACAATGCTCGATGGAAAATGGTTGCAAACGCATACAAACAAAAATTGATGGAAGTAGAACGACTTTGTAACGAAGAATTGGAAAAGGTTAAAAAAAATGTGAATCATTTGCAACCACTTAAAGAAATGATATCTCAATGGTATACTGACGAAGAAAATCATGGCGATTCAATCAAAAGAACTGATTTTGTTGCAAATACACAAAAAATCAATGCTTTCAATGAAAATAATACGCGTAATAGTCACATATTTCAAAAGATCGATGCAGAAGTCAATATGGCGCCAGAAATATTCGTTGCTCGATTTAAATCCGATGATTTTACAAAAATGGATAAATTTTATGGATAATTATATTTTTTTTCATATCTATTGAAATATTATATTTTCACTATATATTTAATATATATTTACTTATATTATGTATGTGTAACATTTTAGAATTGTAAAAAAAATTAGCATAAATTTTAAATTTAAATTTTGGATAACATTTTAAGTGAATAAATTATTTATTACTAAAAAGTATACATACCTTTCGTTGCTTTATGAAAAAAAATTTTATCCTTGAAGAAAAATCTTAACACAATAACACAATTATATACAAATTATGTTTATTCTATTTTTCTTTAATTGTAAAACACTATGAATATCGGAAGATAGTTGTAAAATTTTTGAAAAATTATGCAAATACAATGAAAGAATTTATAAAACTACAATTTTACAATAACTTTGAAGCAAATTAATTTGACTGAAATGAAATATAAGCACTAATATTTAATAATATATTGTTTAATTTGCAAAATAACCGTCCGAAGTACACTATTTGAAAGTATTTCCGCGCGTTCCTTTGTTCACTAACGAATATAGACTATTCCATTGAATGACAGTATTACCACTCTTAATACGTTTTGTAAGCAAACTTCTGTCATATAATTATTTGAAATGAATTTCAAATGTTCTAATTATTATAACAAGTTTTTATAATAAATTAATAAATAAGAATGAAGAATAATGTTCTTAAATATTTATTGAATTTTTACTATTCTAATATCATTAAAAGAAATCATAAAATAATTAAAAGGTTAGAATTTAGAATGAATCAATATTTAAAAGAAATGTGATAATTTTATGATAATTATTTGTTGAATTTCTAGATTGAATAAAATGTAGCATTCGTCAAAATTATTAAATAACAATTTTGTTAATTTTAAATAAACAAAATTGTTCATTTAAATTATATAAATAACTTTTATTGAATATAAAGAATTGGCAAAAAAATATATTAAATTTATCTTTTATATTGTTAAATATTGTAAACAAATTAAAATGTTTAAACGAGTAGAAAGTAATGGTGAAAATGAATTTTCTCTACCTGCAAAACGTCCAAAGTATGATATAAAGAAAGGGAGTTTGTCAGATACTTCTATAAACAATAAAGATTCAAGAAATAAAAAATATGGAAGAGATGATGTTTGGGGAGATGATTTTGCAGAAGAGGATATTGAAGAAATGGATTTTATAGCTACTCAGGCTTGTTTGCAGGTTTTATTTATATTACATCCTTTTATGGTTTTTTAATATATAAATTTATTTATTATATTCATATTATTTTTCAGGACGATAATATTGTAAGTCAATTAGATATAGATAAAAAAACTTTTATAGATAATGCAATACCATCTACTAGTAAAATTAACTTAAATAATAATGATCATAAAGTATCAAAAACTTCTGCACATGTATTCAGTAATCAAAGAAGAAAAGAAGAAAACATAAAAGATATAAGCACTGTAGTTTCTGTTGACTATAACGAGTTTGAAAATAAATTAATAAATAAAAAAATATATAATTCAACATTTAAATTAGATGACAATGTTACTGCAGGTAAGTAGAAGTTTCTTAGGAAATCATAATATTTTATTATATTTTTGCATATTATTGAAAATAATATTATAATTAGAATATGCAAAAGAATTGGAAAAGTTAAAATATGAAAATCAGAAGTTATTAAATGACTTCATAACTAAAGAAGGAGAAGCTGTATTTTTACGAAACCAATTACAACAAACTCAGTTAAGAGCAGAAAATGATAGATTGGAAAAAACACGTTTTATTGAAGAACAAGAAAATCGACATAGATCGGAAATTAATACTATTTGTAAAGAAAAGGAAAATTTAAAAACACAACTTGAATTGCAAGTTAGTAATTTATTGATAATTAATTTTTTATAATTCTATTTTAAATAATATATTCTGATTTTTTCTTTTTATTATAGACATTTGAAATAGGAAATTTAATGGAACGTTGTAAATTATTAGAAAGTGGAAATATTAAATTAACAGAACCACATACTATAAATTTAAATCTTTCTATGAATAAAAATAAATTTAGTTCGCCAAAGAATCGGTAAATAATTCTTTAAATATTAAAAATATATAATAATAAATATTTTTTTTAAAGATAAATATTAAGAAAATATTTAATAATTATTTTTAGATCATCAGTTTCAATTATGAAATCAATAAAAGTTAAAGACACTTATGTACAAACTAGTAAAATGATTAATAAAAGCAATCATTTTCTCAAAATATGGAATCCATGTAAGAAGATTATAAGTTAATACAAAAAATATTAATTTGTATGATATTTATAATTCATAAGAATAAATTTAATAAGAACATGTTGTAGATTTTCCTCTTGCAGAAATTCCGAAATCAATATACGATCCACCACAACCAGAAAAATCTATAGTTGATATTCAGATTATAGAAAAAATAGGAAGACGAAATTTGCCAATTTTACAAGAAGAAGATACATCAAGAATATTCGGTAATATTTTTATTTAAATTATATATATATTCATTCAGAGTTTAACTATTTTGTATATTTTATAGAAAATCCAGAATTAGTAAAACCAATAACGACTATGATTGACGATAAAAAATTATCGGTGGAATTTATTGTGCCAGAAATAGTTGCTCTTCAGCGAAAAACCAGTTTAGAACTTGAGGCAGAAGAAACTATACCATTAATAAACAAAGTAAATTATTTTTATATACTAAGTTTATTTTATTAAACAATATACAAATTTACTAATAATTATATTTTTAGTTAATTTCTACTGCAAGAGAATTAATTTTAAATGTAATAATTATTCTACAAACGATTTCCCAAGCTATGAAGAATGACGATATTCGAGACATGAATGACATTTATTTTTCTTCTTTATATTCGAGTTCTGACTTCAATGGAAAATGCGTGTGTTCTGCTAATGCATGGCACGAATGTGAACGTGGTGTTGAAATTAGAAGAGTGTTTGGCGTATTATCGTATGTAAGTGTGGAATCAACTTATCTTAGCAAGTATATTGCAGGAAAAACACGTTTACTCGTAGAGAGAGATGAGTCTTATAAATGTTATTCCTGTCAAATGGTTCGTTACAATACTTGGTTGAAAGAGAGTCAAGATTTTGAAATACTTAAAATGATATTGCAGTTCATTGTTTTAGTTGGGACTACGGTAATGTATATTACTTAATGATACATATTTTGATAATTTAAAAGAATAAATAATTATTAATATTAAACTTTTATTATTTATTTTTAGAGAAGATCTCATCAATTTAGTGGTGTTATATGTGCAATTATGATGATTATTTACAATGTTCATGAAAAAGTTCAATATTGTTCTGAAGGGCATGTAACTGATATATATATATTTAATAAATTAATATATTTAAAATTTTTTTAACTTACAATTTTTTGTTCCAGAATGGAATATATTTATCAAATATTTAAAGAAATAATATTTAGTAGACCTTTGCCATATTGTTATACATTACTTAATAATTTGATGATGATTTTTGTGAAGTCTACAACTCATTTAAAGAAACTTTGTATTAATTCACGTATGTAATTTATAATAATATTAATGAACATTTATGATTCATATGAAAAATATACATTTTATTAGTTTTATTTTATTATATATTAACATTTTTAAATGATAAATTTAATAAATTTTTTCATATTTTATAAATAATTATTTTATTATTTTTATTATAGAATCAATGGCAGTGAACAATTGGAAAGGTTCATTACATTTTACTCCAGGTAAAACAATCTTTTTTTTTAATAAATCATAATCTATTTTTAAAAATTATTATCATATTTATTTCAGATGCTTGTCCACTACAAATCCTTTTAGCACAGGAGGAGAATTATCACTTTGATATATTATCTGCAATTGACATTACGGATATATTGTTACAAATTGTACAATATATATTACATACAGATATTATTCCTCTGAGATCTGAAACTTTGAATTCTTGTAATTGTTGTATGAAATTGTTAAGATTCACTATTAAAACATTATGTAAGTGTTCTGAAGCAAATCTAGCTGCCATTGGAAATTTTAATCCAGATAATTTCCCTGTACAAAGGAAAAGTTCTTGTAATTTAAAGAATATTTGTACGAAACACTCGCTGTTTAATATGGAAACAAATAAAATGTGTATAGGTGAAATATACCAGGATAAGTTTTCAGACGAAAATGCTTGGTCAATTATGAAAAAGAAACAATCAAAAGTATTAAGAGACGGAATAAGATTTTTGTCGCATTTGGCAATATGTGACCCTGATTTTGTAATTCGATTAACGGATATCGAAGATTCCTTTCATTTATTTATGAGGAATTTAAATACTTTCGAAAATTTTGTTCTTCATGAAAATGAACGTAAGTATAAATATATTTTGCGTTAGAAAAAGTGTAATGAAATTAAATTTTAAACTTCCTCTTTATTGATATCATTTTTCTATCTTTTTTTATTCTTACCACATGATACGAGTTATTTTAATTTTATCCCTATTTATCGGTCCACGAGAATTTTTATATTTCCGCTTTGTTGCTTACTCATTTGCTCTCGGTCATCAGTAAATTTCAATTCTTTTAATATTTTTGTTAAATTAAATTTTTTCATAGAATTTTTCAAATATTTTTTCATTTGATTTTATTTTCAAAAAATGAAATATTAATTTATTAATTATAATTTTTTTTTATAGAAGAGGCTATGAATCGAATAAAGCAAACTTTTATTTTTGATAAAACGCAACAATCTGAAATGGAACAATTTGTAAAAAAGAGTTCCATTAAGCAGTTGGACTTATTATCAAATTTTGAAAAAATAGTTGTTCAACCAATATCCGAAAGACCTAAAAAGAATGAAAATTATAATAAAACTTTACTTGCATTCAAATCATTGTTTAATACTAAAATGGATTTCTCGTAATTTAAAAATTTTAACAAAATCTTAATCATATATTACAATAATAAAATTAATATCGAAGACTGAATTTATTTGAATTTGAGTACAATTAATTATTATTTCATGTATATATTATTTTGTGAATTATCTTCAATTTTGTTCAAAATATCGTTCTATAATAAAAATGTAATATCTCGCAATATTTTATTATGGACGATTCTTTAATTCAAATTAATTGAGCCTCAACATGTATTTTAAATAAGTTTTATCTGCAAATCATTGATTTATTATAATGTAAATAATACTATTTTATCAAGAAACTATTATTGAGAAATATTTTACAGTGTTAATAAAGTATTTTATATTTTAATTATATATAATTAATATTTTAATAATATATCTAACACACATATAATTCCTATTTACATCCCAACCAATCTTTCTTCCCTCCTAATATCAAAAATTAGAAGAAACTGTTTATGATAAAATTTTTAACTTGAAAAACTTATTAAAATTAAAATTAAAATTAAATAAAAAAATTTGTATGCGTTTACAAACATTGAAATACGTTACTAACCGTAATCATAAAGAAACATAAATCCAAATACAAAGATTTTTAAATAAAAGACTTTCAAATAAGGATCTTACCTATTATTCTTGTGCCATTTTTTAAAATTAATCTTTATCACGTTTCCATTGGACTTTATCGATCAAGCCTTTAAAGATGCCACAAAAAATAAGTATCGTTAATGAAAAGATAAAAAATATATACATATATAAAACACTCTTTGCACGGGGTTGAAGGCATGTCCGTGGCGTTGGCTTGGAAAAAAGGAAAAATCCTGGCGCCAGGGCGTGATCTAATCAGAGACGGTCAGTGTTTCTCTCTCCTGGAATTCATTTATCTCTGGCGCAAATGCAATTTGTAGGAATTCTCCTCAAGGCCTGGCAATGTTCGGTGTTGATAACGCCAGCCGGAAATTGATAGTACACTATCACGATAGCATGTCGACGGAAGTGATTTTCCCGCCTTCCGTTCGGAGCGTAATAATCCCAAAGCGCGGCATTCCTGTTTCATTCATAGATGTAGAACGATTCGAGAACCGATTTTTGTTTCTATCCCTCGTCCAGTGTGTATCGTCTTTTCATTTTTATCCTTTACTCCTCGGCCGTTGTTCACGTGATTCACGATTCGCCATCGTTTCATCTTTCATCCTTCTGAAGATGGATGTTGAGGATATGTGCATGAAAATTCAATCATCGATTTAAAAACGAAATTGCGTAATCGAAAGGGAAAACGCTGTTTTTTTTTTTTTTTTTGAATTCGTTTTATGAATTATTAGTTACGGTGAATTGTTTCTTCGAGGAATAAAAAAAGGTTCACAGGATGAGGATCTCTTCAACAACGCTGTTTCTTCTGTTGGCTTTCTTGGTTCAGTGTTCCATTTGCTATGGTGCAACGACAAGTAAGTCACGATCAATTCAGATTTTCATGCCGATCGCAGTAAAAGTATATCTTTCATCTTCTTTCAGAATATTAAATTTTGTTGAAATTGTGAGTAAAAATAATAACTTTTATCAATGAGTTCATCTAATAATTTTTTTTCTCTATTCCATTTTCCATCCCGTTCATTTCAAAAGAATTTTATTTGACGATATTACAATCATTTATAATGAATTTATAAAATTCGTTATTAAAATTAACGAAGAATAACTTGATTGCGTTTCATCTAATTTGTCGATTTGATTTTTCATTTCTATTATTTCTTCATGTTTCATCGATTAAAATATAAAATAGAGAATCGGCTCATCTTCTTCACAGTTTATTTTTTATAGCACAAGGAAGTAAGTACTTTCGTTTACTGATAGCAATTTTTATAAGGCGAAGAAACGAGACGAAAGGTTTTCTTGTTGAACAAGAATTAAGATCCAATTTCATCTGGCTTATCGATTTCTCTCTTTCTCTCTCTCCCTCTTCCTCTTTCTCAATTCCCCTTTGTATAATATTGAAAATTACGTGCGGCATTTATTGACAAGTATTGTTACCAATAAAGGCCATCGTTGAATATTCAATAATCTGTGTATCGAAGTGTCCGCAGGGAATAAATCAGAAATATCCCGTCCATAATATTTTTTTTCTCTATACCAAATCTTCAGCTTGCATTTTTCATGATTACACAAGATAGTTGGTTACTGTTTTTCTATCTAACTATTTAAACATGATTCATTTTAGAAATAATAGTTTTTTGGTCCTTTTTTAAAGATAGTTTATTAACATTTTATTTTTCTTTGTTATGTCATCATTAGATTAAATAATATGATATTTTTAAAAATTTAAAATAGTAAAAAATTATAAACGATTGTAGGAAACAAAAAATATAAATTATTGATTAATTATTAAACAAATATTTAGTTATTAATATATTACCAGCTTATCGAATTAAGATCATATATAAAAAATTCAGTTTTTTTTTTTAATCATAATAATATTATATTGACGAGATATAATTAAAATAAAAGAGTGATATATATAATATCCTAACGATAAATAAATTTTATTAAAATTTTATCAATATATTTCATTTTTATCAAAAAAAAAAGAACGGAAAATGTTAAAATTTTTAACGATTGTAATTCGATAACTATTATAATTTAATATTTTCATTTCCATTTTATATTTTTCTTTCTCGAAAAAAATAAAAGTAAAAAATATCATAATTCAATAAACAAAAAATTCATATCTATTTCATGTTATTTTCCATTATGACCATTTCATTATATTTTTTGTTTTTTCTTTTGAATCATTAATGCTTTGTTTTTTAAATTTTTTCTTTTTAAATTTAATTTATCATACGGAAAATCGTATCATGAATAATAAAAGTAAATTAATTTGTATTTTCAAGCTGCGAATAGATGTCCCATGGTAAAGCTGGTGAATGGAAGAGTTCGATTGAGGGTCAGAGGAAGGATCATCAAATTTAGTTGTTACGACGGTTTCACTCTTGTGGGTACCAAGTATGCAACTTGTTTTCGAGGCCAATGGGATACACCTACGCCCATATGCGTCAGTAAGTACAGTTTTCTAATCACACTTGATAAAATTGTTCAGTTAAAATGCTCGTTCCGTTGTCAATTGTGAAGAACTTTGAGCTTTCGACATGATTAAAGTTCACATGTATGTCGTATTCACACCTGGATTTTCTCGTATAATAATTTATGAATTGATAATATCGATAAATGATTACTATTTAATTTCTTTTAAAATTTTATAATCTTACATTTTAATAGTAAAATTTGAAATAAAATTGTAAAAAAAGAAATAAATAAGTAGAATAAATAAAAATAAAAATACAAATTATCATTAGAATTTTTCAATAATTTTATTAATCATCTTATTCTAATAGATGCAGAATGTCCTGTACCACAAACACCAGAGCATGCTCTTATAGTGCCTAAATATAATGGAGCAATATTATTATATTTTTGCGAACCTGGATACACGTTATTTGGTTCACACGAAATCTATTGCAATGGAAAACAATGGAATGGCACAGTGCCTTATTGTCGAGGTATTTATATATATATATATTTTTCTTTCTTTTTTTATTTATTCGTAATAAATAATATTGGAAAATATTTCGAATCAATTTTATTAATTTACTAACTAAATCTGCAATTTTATAAAGTTTGAAGTTTTTATGGAATCTTATTTCATTCGTTCATTCTTTCAGAATTTCAAAAGAAATCAATAAGAATCAATAAGAATTTTTATGAATTTTTATATAATATTCCAGATATAACCAAAAATCTAAAATTTATTGAATGATTTCATTAAATACTTTTCATTTTAATTAATTTAATCAATATTTAATTTATATAATAATACAATATTAAAGTAAATTATTTGAGTAAATTAAAAAAAAAAGTTTCTAGTGAATTTTATTCGAAAAGATTAAATTAAATTACTTATTTAATTAGATACAAATGCGGCACCCCCGACGCAATGTGATTTCGAGAAACCGGATCTTTGTTGGTGGGAGCAAGATCCACAGCACGATTTCGATTGGCGGCGACACAACTTCGAGACACCAAGCTCTCATATAGGAACTGGTCCAACTCATGATCATACATTGGGACCAGGAAATGAGGGTATTTTTTTTTAATCTATCTTATATTAAACAATTTCTATATATAAATTGATAAATAATGTATTGTGAAATATTTCAAGTTAAGAGAAAGGCCAAGAAAAATAATAACAGCTAATACATTTAGATTTAGATTTAGATTTCTAATAAAGAATTTAAATTTGTAATTAAGAAAAAAAAATTAATCCTGGAAAATTATTATTTTAAATAAATTTTTGTTCAGAAGGATATCAAAAATCTCACTACCATTGAATTTTTCTTTTCCAGGTTATTACTTGTACATCGAAGCTTCTGGTCGGCTGCAAAATGATTCTGCAAGAATTATTTCTCCTATTTATAACGCATCATACACGGACTCTGGTTGTTTCTCATTCTGGTAACCAAAGCAAAATTTTTCTAAACGTTGATATACTTATTATCAAAAAATTAGATTAAAAATTAGATCACTGGCATAAATAAAAGATATCACTGGCATAAAACAAAAATTTCTTTCACTTCTTCAACTTCGATCTTTTCTTTCTCAAATTTTGAAATTAAATTATTAACTTAAAACTAGATAATCACTGATAATTATTCACACATATAAATCTTCATAACTTCGAAATCGAACATTTTTCGAATAATTAAAACTTATTGAAATTGCAAGATATAAATTGGAAATCGTTCATAATTCATGCAAGTTCTGAAAACGGAAGTTTTACATAAAATTTCTCTCTCTCTCTCTTCTCATTGTCAGTGGTAATTCCCATTATTTTATTTAATGAAGTCGTAATTCAATTTCGTTTCAAAAACAAAACGAAAAATGCAGTTTGATAATTTTTTAAAGAATCTTATTCGTTTTAAATTATTATATAATTATTATAGCTTGATCAAGAAGATCGTAAATTAAATATTTTAAAAACATATTTTTTAAATTTCACTGTACGAATATGTATGCTTGGAAATGAATTTATTGCTATGAATTATTCGATGCGTTACAAATTAACGAATAACGAAAATTCAAAGTGATCTAAAAAAAAAAAAACAGGGATAATATTTTTGATGGATCATTTCTGTGTTAGTTAATATTATAATTACGGGTTGATAATAGTTCATTAGAGAACGGCCATGTCCTCAATCATCATTTAAATATATGATTCGTATGTTGGAAGTGACGTTCGTTAAAAGAAATTATGAGAAAATTATATTAAACAAATTTATCTTTACGATGTTATATTTCGAAATAATATTTACCACGATTTAATAATAATTTGAAAATCGGAGAAAATTAAGAAAATTAAGAAAATTTTGAATTTACGAAATTTAGAAGTTTGAAAGAAAATTAGTTTTACATATTTCGTTGAACTTTTGAATAATTAATAATATTTAATCAGCAATTAATACAAGATAAAAAATATATAGTATTAGATAGATTCATCACTGTGATATTTATTTATTATAGATTTCAATGCTCAATTTATATTCGTACATTATATATAACTTATTAAATATTTATATAATATTGTCAAAATTTTAGGTATCATATGTATGGAGCAACGATAGGTGCTCTAAACATATACTTCAAACAGGAAAACCTCTTACCTCGTTTGATGTTCACCAAGGAGGGTGACCAAGGAAACCAATGGCTGCACGGTATTTTCAATCTTCCCAAGGCTAAAAAAGGTTTTCAGGTAACGGGACGGAAAAACGAAAATATAAATTTCAATTTCTTATTCTCTTTATACTTTCTTACTTATCCTTTAGATTATAATCGAAGGAGTACGAGGCAGTAGCTATGTGAGCGACATAGCCGTGGACGACATAGCCATTTTACAGGGAGACAAATGTCGTATCGAGAATAAAAATGAGACCACGGTTACCGAGAGCGACGATGGTAATTCAAATAGAAATACAATTTTTCACGATGAATCTAAGACCCAAGATGTTGATAATTCGTTCGAATTATCTTTTAATTAAAACGCCGGACAATAGGGTACGATTGAACAATGGAGGCGAGAAACGTGGCAAGTTGCGAAACTAACGGAAACATAATGAAATGGCGTATCAACTCTTGGATTATTGCGAATATAGGAGTTGCAGAGTTGAATTGTTTCAGAATAGAGGCAGAGTGTTTAATAAGTGTATCTGAAGGAATGTCTAATATTGATTTTATATTATTCTCTTTTTAACTCTCATACGGTATCGTTCGATTATAGACAATTCACATTTGAAATAATACATATGTTTTCCACGTTATGTTGCAAGTTATATTATTATAAATGTAGAAGTGGAAAATTATCTTCTATTTTTACTAAAGATATAGATTGATAATCTTCTCATATCACGTGATTTCCTTTTGTATTATAACAATTATGCATATATACCTGCGAGCATTTATCTATTCACATTTACATGAAAATTAGTAATGCGATTATTAGAATATGCTACGTACGTCACATTGTAACAATATCCTAGATTAAAGAAATGATTCTTCATCAAAGCACATATTATATTAATAAGATAATTAACATTTATATTAAAAATATAAGTTTTAATTTTCCATAAAATATCTTTAAATTCATATTGTTTCTACAAAAATTTGCTCTAAGAATTCGTTAAAAATGTGATAAATACAAAAGATTATAAATCCAAGAGTTGTGTTAAAAGCAGATATATTTAAAATTAAATACAAAGAGAGTTGATTATGGGATTGATTGTAGTAAATTAAAAAAAAAAAAAATCGCTTTCTCTTCTCTTTGTATAAAATACGAGAAACGTGACATGTTACAGTTTTTTCTTTTATCGCGATCTTTATATTCGATAACCGATTCAATTCTTTTTATAGCGTGCAATTATTCT